CTGTTTTCTCTTTTTCCTTTTCCTTTGTTTGCATTATTTGTTGAAGAAACCAGATCATTAAAAAAAATTTATTGTGGTGAAATATATATACCCAAACACTTTTCATTTCAGCAATGTTTAGGTGTACAATTCAATGACATTAATATTCACCACATTAATTACACCCAGGATATTGAATAACAGTCACCATTACCTGTTTCAAAATACAATATCGCTAAGTCTAGTACAGCCCTTGATCTAGTTTGCTATGATTAGACTGCATGACACTTGAGGGCAGATCGAGTCCCTCATGCATCTTTGTATCACCAGCATTAAGTCTACTTAGTGTCTAGAATAAATAAGTCCTCAAAATACGTCTGGAAAATTAAACTTAAAAAAATTTTGTTGATGATGGAGGTTAACATCTCCCCAGACATAGCTTCATTGGTCTCCCTCTATATAAACATCCCTTAATTTCTCATTGACTGCACAGTTATTCTTCAAGTTTTAAGTTTCTGAAGGACTTCAGTAAACGATACAAGTACTAGGTATTTTGCTCATTAGATTTTTTTCATTCTATAAACTTTCATTTCTCTTCCTTTAATAAAATGTTAATTATTTCTCTATTGCAAGTATACTTTTGTTTCTTTCACTGCTATCATTTTAAATTTGATATTCAGTATTTAATATTGTAATATACTCGGCAGTTTTCTTCGATCAATTAAACAATGTCCAAAGTAACTGAGACATATCTAAACATTATACTGCATGATAGAAAGGTTGTGCCGTCGAGTAATACAAGCACTTGCCCTTGAGAAAATCGCAGCTTATTGGAAAAGACAGGCTAGTCAAAATTAATTACAATCTGATTGCCTGAGACCTACAATATAAATGTGGATGTCCATGAGAATAGAGCAAATGAAATGATTTGTAAATGACTTATCATTTAATGAATAAGAATGATGAAATATAAGAAAAAGAATGTTAAAATCAAATATATATATATTTGATTCATCTATTAAATGTATCTCTATGATTATTTCTAAATGATCAACTACCTAATTGTGAATAATTAGCACCTACTATGTACATGAGCACCTACTATGTACATGAATAAAGATACTGAGTCATATCAATAACCCTTAACCAATATACAAATAAAAACTATTATTATTCCTGATTGCAAATGAGGAAACTAAGACAGAGAAAAGTTAAGTCACTTCTCAAAGTCAAGAGATAAGTAGTGGCAATTTTGAGATTCAAATCTAACCTACTCTTAGTTATTGAACATCATCTTATAGTGCTTCTTATGCCAAGAAGCAAGCTTTCTTCATTCTAAACTTCCTCTTCTCATTTTATGTAACCATTTGAGAAAACTTTGCCCAAATCTTGAAAACTTAAAAATTGCCCTGAATACTTCTCATTGTCATTGCAATGGTGGTGAGCTTTTGTTTCTGAAGTTCATACCCCCACACTTCAAGAATAAAAGACTGCTTGTGATCCCAC